AAGCCTGCAACTGAGGTCTCATCAGGAAGCTGAAATCACCAAGACCCCCTCTCATTTACCCTTTTTGCCTTTAAAGACCTTGCACCTGGCTAGCCAGCAAGATGGACCTGAGACAAACCTGCATCCCCCATCTTCTGGACTGGTGCACAGCCCAGGTCTGGCCGCTTGTCAATATTCCAGAGGCAAGTGCTGGTCGGAACAGAAAAGTTGCTTTAATAAGAAAGCCGGCAGTCTAGGGAGAAGGCAAACTCATATCCAAAACCAACTCCAAAGAGTTTGCTCAGCCACAAAAAAGGTGAAGTGATCTCAGTTAATCACTGAGGTAGGGGGTCCGAGTCATCCCACACCCCACTGTGTGCAGGCGTGTGGACTCCTTGTGACCCTTCTTTAGATGCTATCCTGCTCAGTTTGCTCGTGAGGTTACTGAAGGCCAAGCTGGGGAAAAGGTCCAGTCACCTGTTGATTACTTATTTATTTATATTTCTTTAATCTAAGGAAAGAACCAACAGGTTAGGCAAAGTATTATGTGATCAAAGCATTTGGAAGATGTGCTTGGGTTAGTTAGAATATAGCTTTGCTGAAGTGGTAGGACAAATGGGGCCTCCTGCAGAGAGCTCTTTCCTGACAAAAGCTGCTTAAGGTTAATAGAACTCTCTCTGCTCCAAACGCGGGTGTTTCCATTTGTTTGGCCTCATTTGTGCGTCAGGCACACGAAGTTGGGTCCAACACTTCTGGGTCAGTGGCTTTTGACTAGGAGATGGCACGCTTTTCTCATGTCATAATCCGAGGGCATGGAGCACGTCTGATAGGCCAGAGACCAAGAGGACAGATTGGGCAGGTCCCTTTGGCAGATGTCGTGCTTTGCTTTCTTTTAAGCAGAATCTCTTCCTGACCCTTAGCACCTTTACCCCACTTCGCTCACTCTGCCCGCAAAGGATCTGCCCGGTGAAATCTTTGATCAATTGTTTGGGGACAGAAGGGCGAGAACCTTCTCTTGGTGCACACGACCCCCCCAAGTGCTGATAATCCCAGAGCAGCTGTCTTTGAAGCAAGGGCATGAGGAAGGCCAGCCACAGAGGGCTTTGTTTTGCTGAGTGGAGTTGACGTGGCCCAGCAGTGGGCTCGTACGTCTGTGGCACAGAAAGCCCAACCCCTGCAGCGGGAGTTTGCAGCAAAGTAAGGGCTTATGGCACCAAGCAAGAGAGGGCGACAAGCCTCGGATCCACTCCAACTTGACCGTTTTTAAAGGGGAAGAAGGGGTTAATTATCATCTTGTGACACATTTTTTAAAAAATATTTTTTATTTAGCTGCGCTGGATCTTAGTTGCAGCACACGGGATCTTAGTTGCAGCACACGGGATCTTCGTTGCGGCCTGCGGGCTCTAGTTCCCTAACCAAGGACCGAACCTGAGCCCCCTGCACTGGGAGTGTGGAGTCTTAACCACTGGACTACCAAGGAAGTCCCCTTGTGACAGTTCTTAGTCGTAGTTTCGGGGCTCAGGATGTCTCTGGTTTGCCACTCTGGAGATCCATGGCTTGGCCGTCCGTGAGCTCATCTTGCCCTGGAGAAAAACAACCACGACTTTGTATGTTGATGATGAGACCTCATCTGACTCTGGGGGGTGAGTGCTCAGTGAGCAAAGGATTAGGTCAGAGGGGACAAGAAAGGGAGTAAAGTTTTGGACAGAGAGGCTTATCATCAGCATGGCAGGGGAGCTCGGTTTTAGGGGGACTTGGTTTCACAGAGAGCTGCTTGTGAGAACAGAGATGAAGGGGGACTGCAGGGGAAGACAGAGGGAGACCCAGGGTTCTGGTAGTGGGAGAAGAACTTTTGCAGGTAAGACCTTGGAGAACTAAGGAGGAGAATCTGAAAGCTTCGCTGATGTTGTGGAGGGAGGAGTTTCCCTCTATGCTTCTAGGTTCTTCTGGCTGGTCTAAGATTTAAACTGACATGAGACAGATTAACAGGAGAAAGTCACACAAAAGTTTAATAAAACGTATGCTTGGGAGAGACCCAAGAAAACTGAGTAACTCTCCAAAATGCTGGAAACCATCACCTTTTTTTCCCCCCAGAAATAATGTATTTATAAACACAGAAATGGTTACAACAAAGATGGCCGTGACGAGTGGGTACGTATATATTTATATATATGTATATATATATATATTTATAAATAAATCCTTGTCCAGCAACTGACTGTGGCACCTAAGGAGGTAAGTCCAGTCCTTGCATTTGCCCCAAACCCTCCCTTCTCTGCAGCCCCCCCGGTTGTGGGGTTTCACAAAAAACCCGCAGCTCCTCAGGCTGGGGACGGGGACACTTAGCACAGGGCCTCGGCTGGCAGAGAAGGGGAGGAACTCCAAGGAGAACCATCACCCACACTTCTAAGCCACCCTTGACCAATTTGGGGATCTCCAGCCCTTGGGGACCACATCTCAGCCCTTGCCCCTTTAAGAATAAAGGCAGTCTGACTGCCTCCATGTCCTTCCAGCATTAGGTAGGAAGTGACTGGAGATCACGAGGGGAAGGAAGCGGCTCCCAGGGACGGGCACAGCAAGAACACAACAGGAGGCTGCTTGCATTTAGGGCTCCCTCCTCTCTGACGTCTGGGAGTGCCAGCCTCTAGTCCTCCATCAGCCCGAGCTTGGAGGATTACGAGGGTGAGGAGAGAGAAAGTGCCCACGCTGGAAAAGTCTCTATGAGGTCACAGCAAACCCCTCCCCTGAGCACCAACCCCAATGTTAAAAGCCATGCTTGGGCGGGGAGGCTGCCGGATTTCCCTACCAGCTCAGTACTCCACAGCCATTCAGGAGGGCTGACGTTCCTTCTGAGAGAGGCTGAGAATAAGGATGGTATCCTGTGGGGGAAGGCCGTGCCTGAGGCCCAAGGAGATGGAGCCGTGGCCTGTCAAGGAAGAAGAGGACTTTTCCCACCGAGAGGAGCTGCAGAAAGAGGGGACCAGAATGGCTTTCCCCTCTACCTGGCGGATGCAGCACAGGTCTCCACGAGCTGGCCAGGTGCTCCAGCTGGACGGTGCTGCTGGTGACAATGAGGCAGAGGTCCTCGTGACGCTCCGCCGTCTTTAGGGGGTTGGGTCAAAGGAACACTGCGGGGAGGGTTGGGGGGCTGCGGCACTGCGAAGCCTGGGCCTCAGGGCAGGGCGAGAACAGATGTGCATCAACAAGGGCGAGGTCAGCTGTCCCCGGAGAAGGGCTGAGGGGCTGGCTCCACTCCCTGCCCCACCTCGCTGGCTGTGCGGCCTCGGCGCGCCTGCCCTCGGGCATCAGCGTGGACAGAGTCCAAGTCAGAGCAGCTGACCCCACAGAGCCAGGCGTCTGTTACCCAGAATATCACGGTGGTACCCGTGCCGTGGACAGGACTGCAGACTGCTGGAGTCTTCTGTTCTCAGAGGTGGAGGAGAGAAGGGGGTCAATCAAGGGCTCCCGGTTTGGTCATCACGTCCCTCTCAGGATCCCTGCGACAAAAGCCTCGTCAGCTCAGACCTCCCGAGCTTCAGCTCCCGTGAGTGTCTCAGCTCTTGCCCTGCTCACAAGCCCTGCAGGTGGTCCCTGACCTCTCTGAGAAGACAGCATTGACCCTCACAGAGGAAGGAAGTGGTGGTGGGTATTGAGGTGGCACCGTGGCCACTAAGAACCCCTGGGGCCGAGAAAAGAAGCGGATGCTGGAACCAGGGCTCCCTCTGTCCTCTCCCCGGACGATGACGACGACCGTCAGAGACAGCCGGATGTGCTCCCCGACGTTCTACTCGAAGGCAGAGATGCGGGTGCCCTCCAAGTCACACACCGAGACCAAGCCCCACAAGTGCCCATGCTGTTGCAGCCCCTCGCCAGGAGCTGCTACCTGGCTCAGCACGCGTGTATCCACTCAGGGACCAAGCCCAGGGGTGTCACTTCCGTGAGAAGTCCTTCCCGCAGCCCTCTCACTCCAGCCGCACGCCCGCAGGTGTGCACACCCAGGTGTGCACTGCCAGGATGTGAGAACACCTCCACACAGCTCGAACCTGCAGTCCCACGGGCCGCGGCGCGACAAAGGTAAACCCTGCCAGGGCCACAGCTGTCACCGGGCGCGCTCGGACACAGCCTTGCTGGAGACGCCCCCGTCCACGCACACCGTGAAGCAAGGTGTACACCTGCGCAGTCTGCAGCCGGGCCTACACGCTGGAACCACACCTGACGCAACACATGATGCGCAAACACATCCCTCCTGATTTCCTCCAGCGGTGGCCCAGGCCCAGGCCCTCACCCTAAATACCATCCTCGGCTAAAGACCAGAGAGCCCGTGGGAGAGGGTGATTCGCGACCTCGAAAGGGAGGAAGGCAATTCACACGGAGATAGAAAAGCAAACGCTTTGTAAACAAACCGCTGGGCTGCACTCCGCAGGCCTGCAAGCCCTGGGCCTGCCCAGCCTCAAGACCAAAGAGCGAGCCTGGAGTCAGCGACCACCGCGGAGACTTCAGTGGTTTACTGGCTGGGGGATCTCACACGTGCAAAGCAAAGTCCGGGAGCGACACCCCTCCGTGTGCAGCAGGCGGCGGGCAGGACAGGCACCAAGCTTCCCGCTCTGCCCGGTGAGGGCACAGGCTGAGTGCTGAGGTAACCTGCAAAGGCCCGAGGGCGGGGGCCTGGCCAGACTGGCTTCCATGCGGCCCGTTGCACCCCGAAAGCCCGCTCTGCCGCCCTCCCACCCCGACACAAACAGGTGAGCCACGGCAAGCTGGACCGAAGGCTTTGCAGTGTTCTAAAAAATTACCGTCTAACTATGCAAACTGACACCAAGTTTTAACAGCAGAGGGAGTTTTTTTTTATGGCGATACTCAGTCGGGCCAGCACCGCAGGCATGACTCCCGGTCTGCGCCGGGTCCTGCAAAGCACCCGTGCGAGGCGCGGCCATAACGGGCGCCGGCAGCTTGCCAGCCGCGGCCGCTGAGGCGGCTGGCGATCGCTTTTTCAAACAGCACGTGCAGACCTGTGTCCACAACTACCTCACTTCTGTGGAACAGGATCCTGGAGGCGAGGGTAAGGGCGCGTTTTCAGTCGATGCTGCCAAACCGCCGTCCGCAAGGGTTGAGACAACCTGCGTAGAACTGCCGCGCTCCCGGCGGAGGGTCTGGCCTGCTTCTAGCTCTTTCCTCCCGGCAGGGCTACCAGGGCGCCCGCCAGGGGACGCGCTCTCGCCGCCGCTTCCGGGCTTCAGCGCCTCGTCACGGGCTCCTGCCTCGGGGCCCCACGTTTCTTCCCGTCGCCACTGGCAGGAGGCCCGCGACCCCGCACCCTTCGAGGGACCCGGATGCCCCCCCAGCGCCGACAGTCCCGCCCCACGCTGCTCCAGGAAGGGCGGGAAGGAGGCCAAGGGCCGAGCTCATGGAGAGGGTCCTGGAGTTCGGGAAGGAAGTGGGTTCGGGGGGCACCCCGAACACTGAGGAGACCCGGCCCGGCGGGGACAGAGGGGGCGGGGGGCAGGCGGCTATGCCCTGCGTCCTGCCCGGACACCTCCGTCTGGCCGTGGCCCTGCGCCGCCGGACCTCTCCCGGCGCCCTTCTCCCCGCGGGGCCCGAGAAGCCTCCCCGGCGGCCGGCCCCGGACGCCGGACTCAGTCACCGTCGCCCGGACGACCCCCTCGTTCACTCACCTTCATCCGCACGCCACCAACACACCCCAGCCAGGCGCCCGGGGCCGCTTCCGCGCTCGGCGCGCACGTGCTCCGCCCGCACGTCCGGGGAGGCGGCGGGAAGGCGCGGTTGATACAGAGTATCCAGGCCTCCGCCAATCCCTGCAAGGGCCCCGCCCGATGACCCCCGCCCGTGCCCTGCGCCCCCTAAGTCCCGGGGCCTGCGGTTCCGCCCACCTGGGTTCGGGGCATTCCGGTGGTTCTTGGGGAGCCGAGAGGTTCTCGGGGGTCCGTGGCATTCGGGGGGCTGCACGGGAGCCGACAGGTTGGGGGGGCGAGGGCGGGGCGTCAGAGGCGCCATGCAGCCTGGTTCTGCGCGTCCTCAGGCCCCAGAAGGAGCAGAGCCGGGGTCCTGGGGGTCCTGGGCTGGGGTGGAGGAGAGGGCGCCACGACCCCCGCCCCTGCAGTAGGAGGAAGCTGTGACCCTGGATTAACCCCACGCCACCGCCCTGGAGCTCTGCGGAGACAAAGCCCGGCTGGGGTCGTAGCCCAGGGGGCAGACACCCCCGCCCCTCCCGTGCCCCCGCAGCCCCAGCCGGAGGCCCCCGGTGATCCCACCCCCGCCTGACCCTGGGGCGCAGCTGCGCGCGGCGGAGAGGCCTTCGCGACGGTGGAGGCCTGGGGACCCGAGTTCTCGGTGACCCTGGTCAGCTACGCGGGGGAAGCCTCTGAAGTGCCGCCGTCCTGGCTCGGACACGGTCTGGCCTCTCCCCTGTGCAGTTTAGTTTGGGGAGATGTTGCACACAGCGAGCCGGAAGGCGCTCTAGAGAGGAGACCAGGAGGGTTTCGAGTTGCTTTTGAAAGGGTGGTCAGGGCAAAAATTCTCTGACGTCAAAGCTCATGCCTGAACGTATGCAAAAGACTTAGGCAGAAAGAGAAACATTTCAGCGTTTGTTCACTTGAAAATCTGGAAACGACCCAAGAGTCCGGTGGAATATTGCTAAACACATCACACTTCAGAAACAGGATGGGCTCCTGGAGGGTAATTAGTAGTTGCCGGGAGAAAGAATGCTTCCTGACCGGACTAGTGATACATTGTACAATAAAAACGGCTGTTACAAAGCAATGTGAGTGAGACGAGCCCGTTTGAAAAGTACAGACACAAAATGATGTATGCCACATCGTTAAACCCTGGTTGCCACCGGGTGACAAAATTATTGTTGTATTACTTTTATTTGGCTTTAAAATTTTTTTCTTTTGCTTATCCATGTTTCCTAATTTTTATAAAAAGACAATCTTCTGTTTTTCTCGTTTTAAGGTTCTTTTCAAGAAGTGGGAGAAAAAACATTGACAACAGGGTTGGGGGAAGCAATCCCCACCGTCCAAGTATACTAAGGCGGATATGGGTGAACAGAGAGGAAATTGGAGGTTTGCTGCAGGAAACCCTCCTGTTGTGGGAATGTGATCACAGGCCCTTTCTCCAGGACCGGCTGGTGCTCAGTGAGAATATTCCTGGTTGCGCTCCACCCATGAAGCATCAATGAAGTTAAAACCTCAATGGAAACCAAAATGTCCAAGTACCTACGTTATTAAATGTAATTCAACAAATTTTATGATTCTAGTTCATTGTTATAAAATCAGTAACTTTTTTTGGCTGCCAGGTGAGAAGTCACTGTTTACACACATTGTCTTATTTGAGCCTCCCAAGCCACCTCTGAGCGAGTTATGTTCCCTTGTTACTAAAAAGGAAATAGGTCCAAGTGCATTTAAAACACTTCCAACCAATAAGTGGCCTCCTTGAACTGTCAGACTCAAAAGCATACGTTCTTAACGTAAGCACATAATAATTTCAAGTATTCTAAATCGGGAAACTCTTCATAAGCTTCATTTTTTTTTTTGCAGTATGCAGGCCTCTCACCGCCATGGCCCCTCCCGTTGTGGAGCACAGGCTCCGAACACGCAGGCCCAGCAGCCATGGCCCACGGGCCCAGAAGCTCCGTGGCATGTGGGATCTTCCCAGACCTGGGCAGGAACCCGTGTCCCTTGAATCGGCAGGCAGACTCTCAACCACTGCGCCACCAGGTAAGCCCCATAAGCTTCATTTTTAATAGAGGTCTGATCTTCCAACAAAAGGTAGGCCAAAAGGTAATTATCCAACACCCACTGTAAATAGAGGCTGCCTCTCTCTTCCATGCTCACTAGTCTGAAATGCAATCATTACCACATAAAGCACCCTAAGGCATACTTACCTGCTATTTCCGGATTTTCTATTCTCTCTGGACCCAGGCTACCTGGGGCGGACTCCCAGTTTAATTGCTTAATAGCTGTGTGACTTTGGACAAGGTACTGATCCTGTACCTTCTCTCCTCTTGGTGAAGTTTATGATTTGTAATAATAACAGGCCCTCTTTCCTCTTTGGTTTGAGATCATTAAATGAGTCAGTACTCTGCACGCGCTATCTTCTTTACCATTTTGTTTCTTACCGGCGTTGTTCACTCTTAACACGTTCAAAATCTGGGAACTTCCCCCTTAGGACTTCTCCTTTTCAGAAATGTCCTGGCCACTCATGTACTTTCCCCCATAATGAGTAGCTGAACACATTTTTAAAGATCCCTGATCCACGGAAGGCTGCAAGCCCATCTAGATACGGCCTGCTAAGAACCTCTACTTCACCCTGAACCCCTCTTCCCTCCAGGGAATTACCTTCGTTCCCAGAGGTCCCCCTGAGGGAGCTGCTTGCCCACCTGCACTGCCCCAGGAAGCCTTCTCGAAGCCCAATCTGTCTGTATATTGGGGTGCTTGTAGCCATGGGAGACCAGTCCTTTGGGCCGTTCGTGGGTTCACAGAACTACGGGGAGCAGGCCGTCTGGGGAACACCCTTGGGAAACCGATGCCTGACAGAAAAAGAGAGGGGATGTGTGACGTCTTGGGTAGAGTGATGAGAAGGACAGAGGGAACGTAAACAAGAGCTGGAAAGAGTGGCTCAGCTGTCCTTCCTTTCTTGGAAGATGGCAGATGCAGGTGGGGCAGGGCACAGGAAAACCCTCCCAACATACTGACCCAGAGGCACTAGGAATGCTTTTTCGTTTTTTTCTGCTAGAGAAAATGTTCAAAAAAATTTTTTAAAGATGAGATGAGTATTATCGATTTTTCCTTCTGCTTCAGGCTCAAAGGTGGCTGGGCAGTGGTGCTGTGCCCAAACAAGACCCACTTCACCTGCTACAAACCTTCGTTCCCTCTGGTGGTAGGTCAGGTGCAGGGAGGGGGACAGGGACTCAGAGCCCAGGGTCTATTTACTGAGCATGCGGCACTCTGTGAGGTGGGTATTTTGCCATCATTCCCATATGACAAGATGCCCATCAGAGAGGTTAAGTCACTGGTCTAGTCACAGAACTGGTAGAGGGTGGGTTTGAGGTTAGCCCGCTCCCATCTGGCCCCCAAGTGTTGGTTTACACGTCACCCAGCAGCACACTGACTCGGAGGGTGGGAGAGGAGGGAGGTCTCGCTGCGCACTACATTCTCGTTACTCAGTAACCATGCTTGTTACACTCCAGGCCCAGGCTGGACGCTGACATCACAGATGAGTGAGTGTCCCTCCGTTTGAGGGATCCATCCTCTCAGGACCTGTTGATTGCCTACTCTGTGCAGAGCAGGAAAAAACCTCAATCTATTTATCTATTTTTGTCATTGAAAAAAACCTAAATAGATATTTAACCTGAAGCATTTTAAATTAATATAATATTACATGTGAAAACTTGAACAAACATACAAGTCCAAGAAAATGAAAGCACATTGTGAAAGTTCTTGATGATTTTGATTTTCTATCCTTGTAAGTTACATAAAGTGCACAGATCTTTAGGGTTTACCTCTGATTTTCCCATACATGCAGATACTGTGTCCTCACCATTTCCAGCACGCTTCAAGGCTCTGTCATGCTGGTTTCCAGTCACTATCCCCCCACGGTGACCACCCTGGACTTGTCACCAAATGTTAGCTTTGCCTGTTTTGGCACTTGATCTGCCTTCTCAAATGCTACAAAATTTCCCCCATGTAACCCTAGAAGGTCTATCTTTTCCCCCTTTACATTTAGGTGTACAATTAATCTGGAAATAATTTTAACTTATGGTACGAGGTATGGGTGTGTCAACCCCACACACACCCCATAGGACATCCAATTTATCTGATTTATTGAATAATCTTCACCATTGCATTGCAGTGGCACTTTTTGTCTTAAATCAGATGATGGTACATGTGTGGGTCTGCTTCTGGGCTCTCTGATCTGTTGTTTCATTGGTCTGTTTGTCCAACTTTACACAAAACCATACTATTTTAATCATGGGATAAGTTGATATTCAGTGTGTATCCTTCAGTTTTCCTCCTCTTTGTCTTTGGTATACTTCACCCTTTGCACTTTTACATGAATTTCAGAATCAGCTGGTTAATTTTGACAAAAGTGCATACTAGGACTCTGAGATGACACTGAATTTATACATCAACTTGGGAAACATTTGAGAACAATATTGAGTCTCCCAATTCTCAAATATAAAATAGATCTCATTTATTTAATATCAAGCAGTATTTTGTAGTTTTCTGTATAGAGACTTTTCTTTAGTCTTATTTCTGATATTTATGATGCTATTGTCAATGATACTTTAATTCCATTATCTAATTTTTTTGTAATATATGGAAATACCATTGACTTTTGTATATTGACATTTTATCAGTATCTAGCAACTCTGCTAAATTCACATAATTCTAACAGATTCTGTAGATTTTTTGGGGGTTTCTAGGTACATAAACATATTGTGTAGGAATGACAAGTTTTCTTTCATTCTTTCTAATCTTCACACTTAAAAAAAACTTACTGCACTGGTTAGGACCACCAATATTCAGTGTTGAATTAAAGAGATAATAGTTGGGACTTCCCTGGTGGTCCAGTGGTTAAGACTCCACGCTCCCAATGCAGGGGGCCCAGGTTTGATCCCTGGTCAGGGAACTAGATCCTGTATGCTGTAACTAAGACCTAGTGCAGCCAAATAAATAAATATTTTTTTAAAAAGTAACACTATTAGTTAAAAATTGTATTTTGCTATCTTGCTAAATTGACTTGTTAAGTGGCTTTAAAAATTCTTTTTATTGGAGCACAGTTGATTTACAGTATTGTGTTAGTTTCTGCTGTACAGCAAAGTGAATCAGTTATACATATATCCACTCTTTTTAGAGTCTTTTGCCATATAGGTCATTACACAGTATTGAGTAGAGTTCCCTGTGCTATACAGTAGGTCCTTATTAGTTACCTATTTTATACATAGTATGGTATATATGTCAATCCCAATCTCCCAATTTTTCCTCCACCCGCCCTCTCCAAGGTGCCTTTTTTGGGGGTAAAGTTTTAAAAGGAGTTTCAGTGAAGGCAATCATGCTGTCTCTGAATAAAGTTGTCATTCTTCCTTTCCAATCTGTATCCTTTTTTATTTTGGCCATGCCACGTGGCTTGCGGGATCTTAGCTCCCCAACCAGGGACTGAACCCTCGCCCTCAGCAGTGACAGCACGGAGTCCTAACCACTGGACTGCCACGGAATTCCCACCAATCTCTATCTTTTTAATTTCTTTGTCTTGCCTTATGTAGTCAGCTAAATCTTCCAGTACAGTGTTGAAAGAGAGTGGTGAGAGTGGATATATTTCACTTGTTCTCAATCTTAGGGGACTCTATTCACTCTTTGACCGTTACGACATTAACTGTAGACATTTTTCAGATGTGCTTTATTAGTTTCAGGAAGATACTTCCTATTCCTAGTTTGCTGAGGTTTTTAATCATGAATGTTATGGAATTTGAACAAATGCTTTTACTATGCCTGTTGATGTGACCATATGATTTTTATTTTTTAGTTGGTCAGGTATGAATTAGTGATTGGATTTTGAATATCAAATCAGCCTCAGCTTTGTATTCCCAAGATAAACTCCAATTTGCCTTCATGTATTACCCTTTTATATATTGCTAGATTAAATTAACTAGTTTTGAGGACTTTTACATCTATGTTCATGAGGAACATTTGTAGTTTTTTAAACAATTTGTAATCCTTTTTTTTTAAAAAAAATCAGGGTAATACTGACTTCATGAGTTAAGAATTTGTCATCTATTTTCTGGAAGAGTTTGTATAGAATCGGTATTACTTCTTTCTTAAATATTTGCTAGAAATCATCAGTGAAATTATCTGAGCCTGGATTTTTCTTTGTTTGGAGATTTTTAACTGAATTTAATTTCTTTAAGAACTGTAATAGGTTACCCTTTCTTGAGTAAGCTTTGGTAGTTTGTGTCTTTCAAGAATTTAGTCCATCAAAATTGTCAAATCTGTGTTTTGTGATGCTTACCCCTTCCACTGTTTTTGTTTCACTGGTTTCTGGTCTTATCCTTACTATTTCATTCCTATTTACATTGGGCTTTACTCTTCTTTTCCTAGTTCCTTAAGGTAGGACTTTATATTATTGATGTGAGACCCTTATTCTTTTCTAACATAAGCATTTCGTGCTATTAATTTCCCTCTACACACTGCTTTTTCTGCATCTCAAAAATTTTGATATATGTTGTATTTTAATTTGTACACATCATATATAATAATAATTCAAAATATTTTCCATATTATGCTTGAAATTTCTTGGACCCATGAGTTATTTAGAATTGTGTTGCTTAATTTCCAAGTGTTTGGAGACTTCTCTGTTCTTGCTGCAATTGGTTTCTTGTTAAACTGTACTATAGATGGGAGAAATTTTGCATGGTTTCAATTATTTAAAAAATTTTAGGATTAATGACTTAGGACATGATCTGTAATGGTGAATGCTTCACATGTAATTGAAAAGAATGTGTATTCTGCTGTTGGATGTTCTAGACATGTCTACCAGGTCCAGCTTGTTGATGGCATTATTCAGTGCTTCTATAGCCTTGCTGATTTTTGGTCTCCAACTTATATTACTGAGAAATAACTGTTGAAGTGTCCAACTAAAATGGTAGAGTATATTTCTCATTTCACCTCTGTTTTTGCATGATTTTGAAGCTTTCTTGTTAAGTGCATGTACATTTAGAATTGTCTTTTTGGTAAAATGATGCTTTTCATTATATAAGGTACCTATACATTCCTGATAATTTTCTTTGCTCTGAATATATATTTTCTTCCATAAAAGGGCACATATTTTCTAATGTCAGCTCTTAGGCTGGGAGATAGGGTGGGGCTGAATCAATTTGATCTGTATTTCAGCTGTCTAAGCTTTGTTGAAGCTTTTGGTTGATTTAGTGCAAAACTGCCTTCAGATATTTTGAGGGCAAATCAGAATGTTTCCCTCGGCAGGGCCTGGAATCTGAGTGTGGAGACGTTGTAAAGATTTGCTTGTTCTCACAGCCAAGCTGCCAGCTCTCAGAGCTATGCGAAACATCTCCTTGCCTTACAGCCTGTAGCTTATTTTGGTTTTTCTAAATAGACAATCACATCTCCAAACAAAAGGATTTTTGTTTCAGCCCCAACCCCCAAGTCCTTACAACTTTTTCTTCTCACACATTGGCTAGAATTGCCATTACACTGCTATAATTAAAATGATGAGAATTCTGTAATTTGATAATTTGATTAAAAAGTGGCAATAACTAAAGCTATTCTGGGTAATCTATGTAGAAGGAACTAATTAATAATGGCAGCAGACTACACAAAGCATATTTTACAGTACAGAGAAAGATAACACCTAAACATCCTAGGTCTTATGATGTAATCCTTATTGTTTTCCTGGTTATTACATTTACTTACACACTTTAAAAAATCTTTATGTTCTATTATGAACATGCATATCATTGACATTTAAACATTTTCTCCATCTTTTCCTAAAAGTTTGGAACATCTTTACAACTTTTTTTTTTTTTTTTTTTTTGTGGTACGCGGGCCTCTCACTGTTGTGGCCTCTCCCATTGCGGAGCACAGGCTCCGGACGCGCAGGCTCAGCGGCCATGGCTCACGGGCCCAGCCGCTCCGCGGCATGTGGGATCTTCCCAGACCGGGGCACGAACCCGTGTCCCCTGCATCAGCAGGCAGACTCTCAACCACTGCGCCACCAGGGAAGCCCCATCTTTACAACTTTTAAGTAATTTGTAAAGGAAATTATTTTTTCTAAGTGAACCAAAATAATAGTGAAGTAAACTTTTCTGCTGAGGCTTATCCCATTTGAAACATTCATAAAATCTTCTTTTCTTGTATTTTTTTTTCTAGCTTGGTTTCTCCAAGGTATGAGCTTCCAATACGTGCAATTCATTCGTTTTATATTTTCTCTCATTAAAATCCTAATTCTTATTAAATTATGAATTTCAAAGGATTGTATTCTATATTCATTTGCATTATGGGATTCCTCTTTGTGGATGTTAGCATATTAGAAAATGACTTCCTGACATTCATTTCATTCATATTGTTCCTCACCTGCACAAACTTAAAGAAATGGTATGACTTCTTGCTGAGAACTTTCATAGGGTTCACTGAATTGATAGGGTTCCTGTGTACATTTACTGATATTTTTTGGTGTACATAAAAAACAGTGTTCTTTGGATGCCCCTCCACATGCTATACATACACGGTGTACCATGAGATTTTTCCATTTATAGAGTTTCTCTCCTGTACGAATTTTCTGGGAATTCCTGTGAATTGACTTTTTTTAAAAAAATTATTTATTTATTTATTTTTGGCTGCATTGGGTCGTCATTGCTATGCGCGGGCTTTCTCTAGTTGCATCAAGTGGGGGCTGCTCTTCATTGTGGTGTGTGGACTTCTCATTGTGGTGGCTTCTCATGTTGCAAAGGATGGGCTCTAGGCATGTGGACTTCAGTAGTCGTGGCACATGAGCTCAATAGTTGTGGCTTACGGGCTCTAGAGCACAGGCTCAGTAGTTGTGGTGCACGGGCTTAGTTGCTCCACAGCATGTGTGATCTTCCTGGACCAGGGCTCGAACCCGTATCCCCTGCATTGGCAGACAGATTCTTAACCACTGTGCCACCAGGAAAGCCCTGAATTGACTTTTGAGAGAAAGTTTCTTACATTTACTTCACCAATATGTTTCTCATCTGTATGAGTTCTCTGATGCATAATGAGCTGTGACTTGCAACAAAAGGCTTTCCCACATTCGCTGCACTTACAGGGTTTTTCTCCTGTATGAGTTCTCTGATGTGCACTGAGAATTGATTTCTGAGAGGTTTTTCCACATTCACTGCACCCATAAGGTTTCTCCCCTAATCAGTTCTCTGATGTACAATGAGCTGAGATTTCCTAATGAAGGATTTTTCATACTCATTGCATTGAGAGGGCTTCTCTCTTGTGTTCATTCTGATGTATAATGAGCCGTAATTTTTCACTGAAGGATTTCTGACATCGACTGCATTTATAAGGGTTTTCCCCTGCGTGAGTTCACTCATGTACAATGAGAAGTGACTTCCAAATGAAGGCTTTCGCGCATTTGTGACATTCGTATGGTTTGTCTCCTGAATGAGTTCTCATGTGTATAATGAGGTATGACTTGCTACTAAAGACTTTCCTACGCTCACTGCACCTATAAGGCTTTTCCCCAACATGAGTTCGCTGATATGAGATGAGCTGATCTTTTCTGTTAAAGGCTTTCTCACATTCACTGCATTCATAGGGATTCTCTCCTGTGTGGGTTCTCTGATGTACAATAAGATTTGACTTTGTATTAAACGCTTTCTGACATTCAATACATTCAAAGGGTTTCTCTCCTGTATGAGTCCTCTGATGTATCAGGAGCTGTGACTTCCAACCAAAAGTTTTCCCACAGTCATTGCATTCATAGGGCTTCTCCCCTGCATGAGTTCTCTGGTGTGAGATGAGATGATATTTCCGACTGAAGGCCTTCCCACATTAACTACAACCACAGAGTTTCTCTCCTATGTGGGTTCTCTGATGTACAATAAGGCTTGACTTTGTATTAAACGCTTTCCAACATTCACTACATTCAAAGTGTTTCTCTCCTGTATGAGTTTTCTGATGTATCACGAACTGTGACTTCAAACCAAAAGTTTTCCCACAGTCACTGTATTCATAGGGCTTCTCCCCTACGTGAGTTCTCTGCGGTGAAATGAGCTGGTATTTCCGACTGAAGGCTTTTCCACATTCACTGCATTCATACGGATTCTCCCCTGTGTGAACTCTCTGATGTATAACAAGTTGTGAATTAAAACTGAAGGCTCTCCGACATTCACTGCATTCATGGAGTTTCTCTCCTGTGTGAGTCCTCTGATGTATAATGAGGTAGGACTTTATCCTAAAAGCTTTCCCACATTCATTGCATCCATAGGGTTTCCCTCCTATGTGACTTATCTGATGTACAATGAGCTGTGACTTCAAATTGAACGCTTTTACACACTGATTACAGCCATAGGGTTTTACCCCAGTGTGTGCTCCCTGATGTACAATGAGCTGTGACTTGAAAGTAAAGGCTTTCCCACATTCACTATAACCATAAGGTTTCTCTCCCATATAGGTTCTCTGATGTACCATGAGGTTTGAGTTTGTATTAAAGGCTTTTTGACAATCACTGCATTCATAGGTTTCTCTCCTGTATGAATTCTTTGATGTATAATGAGTTGTGGTGATTTCAAACCAAAAGCTTTCCCACGTTCATGACACCAATAGGGTTTCTGACCTGAATGAGTTCTCTGGTGTGAAACAAGCTGGTCTTTCCTACTGAAGACTTTCCCACAGTAACAGCATTCACAGGTATTCTCCCACATGTGAATTCTCTAATGTGTAACAAGTTGTGAATTGAAACTGAAAGTTTTCTGGCAAACACTGCATTCATGTAGTTTCTCTCCTGTGTGAGCTCTTTGATGAACAATGAGGTAGGACTTGCTGCTGAAGTCTTTTCCACATCTACTACCTTTGTAGCGTTTTTCTTCTGAATGAGTTTGCTGATGCACCACAGGGTATGACTTGCTGCTGAAGGCCTTCCCACAGTAACTGCATTCAAAGGGTTTTCCTCCCATACGTATTTGTTGGCATATGAGCTGTGACTTTCTGTTGCCAGTTTTTCCAGATTCATTACTTTCACACTATTTTATTCCAGTAAGAGCTTGCTCATGTTTAGAATGGAAGGATGATTCCCTATGTGCATGAAACCCATTAGGATTCTTTCCAACATTATTATTACTAAAATCTATATTATATTTCAAACTCTTTCCATTTGTGACACATTTATGAAGTTTTTGTCTTTAAAAAATTTCTTTTTTTGGTTGTGTTTGATCTTCGCTGCTGTGCATGGACTTTCTCTAGTTGTGGTGCATGGGCTTCTCATTGTTGTGGCTTCTCTTGTTGCAGAGCTTGGGCTCTAGGCATGCAGGCTTCAGAAGTTGTGGCACATGTGCTCAGTAGTTGTGGCTTGCAGGGTCTAGAGCTCAGGCTCAGTAGTTGTGGTGCACAGGCTTAGTTGCTCCACGGCATGTGGGATCTTCCCAGGCCAGGGCTCGAACCCATGTCCCCTGCATTGGCAGGCAGACTCTTAACCACTGCACCACCAGGGAAGCCCTAAAGTTTTTGTCTTGAAGAAACATAATCTGTACGAAGAAGACATAGTTTTCCAAATGCAGTACACTGATAGCATTTTGACATACTTCTCAGCTTGCATTGATTTTCCTGATGCCATTCCATACAACCATCAATTTCCCAGACTTCATCTAGAAATGAAAATACTCACGATATAAATAGTAACATGATCCTAGTACAGCATAAAATTGCCTTATAAATGTCATGTCCTGATGTTTTTCTTAGTTTCTGAAATCAATTCTGAATGTAAATAAAATCTCAAATGTAAATATACCCAGACTCCTGGGCTCTGGGGAAAACAAAGGAAAACAAAACATGAAAATAGGCAAAGGGAACCGGCAATAAATAAAGGTAGTCTTGAGTTTCAAAATTTTGCATAATGTTTTCTTTAGAAAGAACAAGGAAAAATGAGCAAAATCTAAAGAAGTGGGAAGGGATCTCTGAGCATAGGCTTCATTCGACAAATAATTGTTAAATACCTATTATGTGCCGAACACTGTCTAAGCTCAGGAGAAAGAGCAGAACCATTGCAGATTTGTTTACAGTCCTCCTGGGAATAAAGTTCCACTGAATACTCAAAGAGATGAAAATAAATTCACAAGAAATATCACTGAGATGTTTCAGTACACTGACAGCACCAGCTAATAAAGCTTCCAGAGAAACGAAAAAAGTTTCACATAATGGATCAAAATTTAGAATGGATCTGACTTCTCAGTAGCATCACTAGAAGAGAAAAAACAGAGGATTCAGGAGTAAATTAGAGGCACAGGTCGCAAAATCTATATCAAATGCACCCTTTCAAAGGAAGCTACCGTGAGAGGTGTTCCAACAAAAGAAACCAAGAAAAAAGGTGACACAATAAAAATAGAAAAGAAAATCTAAAAGGAGATTCCAGGTTAAAAACTGTACAACCAGTTCTTGAGAAAAATCAGGTTACACTGGGGCAAGTCAAATAACGTGGGAGTGATGTCACTAGGAAGATGAAATTGACAGAGTCACTAATTTAGCTGAATGTACCAAAAGAATATTTAGACATGTGAAGACGAGTCTGGGGTTAAATTAATTATAAATACATTAATGATAACATAGAAAACTTTGTAGGACAATAACACAACTCGAGAAAAAACGAGTTATGAACAAAACTAACCATTGTATACTCGCACGATTTGCCCAGGAAGAGAAATTACATGGTCGTAAAGATATAAAAACTGAAGACTGATCTAAGTATGAAATAGCTTGATTAGGATGATGGAGGTATGGGAAGAGAGTGTGTGTATATTGGAGAAGAGGAAATCTTTACCCTTCATACTAAATAATTAGAGGAGAAAATCAAGGTGTAAGAGAATAAGTCATTTATTTAGAAAACATGGAGGTAAATACCATAAGAAAGAGCTAAAAGAGATGAAATTGTTTTTCTCGGGGTGGGGAGAAATGAAAAACAGAAGGGGCAGGGTGGACAGAATGCTGTTTAAACATAAAAAATCTCCAAAATCCAAAAATACAAAGTGAATAGGGAACTAGACAGAGGACTAAGTCCTCAGTCATAATCACAAATATTTGGAGGTTGAATAGAAGAGAGAATGGGTAGACTTGGCCTAGGTGTCCCAAAGTAATATGCTGACCAAGGCAATGGACAGAAAAGGGTATTAAGAGAACATAGAAGAAGGTCAGGTTTGAAGATAGCAACATCACAGGATCTTAATACCTCATTTCAGGTTTCCCTATATCCTAAATCTGAACCGTCTTATTCATTTTGTACACAACCTCCAAATTATATTTTCCCAAACATCAATTCCCAACTGGGACAGTACCCACACCCATGCAGTGAGAAATGAACATGAGCATGTCTGACCATTACAATGGCTTTGGAGGGAGTATTACTGGCTATTACTGGATTGGCCAAAAAGTTCCTTCGGTTTTAAAGTAAATATAGAAGATACATTTTTCATTTTCACCAAGAACTTTACTGAACAACATATTCACCATTTTGTTCCACTACCTTCTGCCATTTTTCAGGCAACTTCATAATTCCATCTTCCCAAAACTTTTTATCTTTTTGAGCAAAGAACTGTTCCAGGTGCCTTTTACAGTCTTCCAGGTAATTGAATTTTTTTCCATTAAGAGAATCTTGTAAAGACCGAAATAAATGGAAATTCAAAGGTGCAGTGTCTGGTGAATATGGCAGATGAATCAGAACTTCCCAGCCAAGATGTAACAGTTTTTGCCTGGTCATCAAAAAAAAACATATGGTCTTGCATTATCCTCATGGAAGATTATGTGTTTTCTGTTGACTAATTCTGGATGCTTTTTGTCGAGTGCTGCTTTCAGTTGGTCTAATTGGGAGGAGTACTTGTTGGAAGTAATCATTTGGTTTGAAGAAGAAGAAGCTCATGATAGAGGCCTCCCTTCCAATCCCACCATATACACAACATTATCTTCTTTGGATGAAGACCAGCCTTTGGTGTGGTTGGTGGTGGTTCATTTCGCTTGCTCCACGATCTCTTCCTTTCCACATTATTGTACAGTATCCACTTTTCATTCGCCCGTCACAATTCGTTTTAAAACTGGAACGTTTTCATTACGTTTAAGTAGAGAATCGCATTTGGAAATATAGTCAAGAAGGTTTTTTTCCCTTAACTTATATGGAACACAAACATCAAAGCAATTAACATAATCAAGCTGGTGCAAATGGTTTTCAATGTTTGATTTGGATATTTTGAGTATTTCGGCTATCTTCCTTGTGATATAACATTAATTTTCTCAATTAATGTCTCAATTGGATTGCTATCAACTTCAACTGGTCTACCTGGCAGTGGAGCATCATCCAGAGAGAAATTTTCAGCATGAAACTTCACAAACCACTTTTGACATGTTAGATCAGTCACAGCCCCTTCTCCATATACTGCACAAATCCCTTTCTGCATTTCAGTTGCAGTTTTGCCTTTCTTGAAATAATACAGTATAATAGGCCAAAAGTGTTGCTTTCTTCCATCTTCAATATTAAAATGGCTACACAAAAATTCACCAATTTTGATGTTTTTTTTAATGCATGCTGATACGACAGCTGTCACAATACAATCTAACAAAACTGTTTTGAATGAAGTTAAAGACAACTAAGTGCTACTAGAGCCGTCTTATGGAAAAAACTGAATGAACCTTTGGCCAGCCCAATACATGGTCTTAAAGTCAGAAGTGTTTCCATCAAGAAGAAAACAGGCCAGTGAGTAATTAACCTTTGCCCTCAAATCATATTTGCTCATGTTTGGCTGTCAGTGTTGTCCCTGTAGACTCTGAAAGTTCATGGATACTGATCCTGTCAGTTTCTGTACTTCACCCTTCCAATCCTTCTGTTGCTGGCACCACACTCCTGCTGATTTTCCCTTGGTTCCCACATCTCTGGCTTCCTTCATTTGATTTCCCAGGAAATCTAATGAATTTGCTGTTGAGCATTTTCTTTGCAAAAATAATTGCGAAAAATTAGATCATTGCTTGTATCTCAAGGAAGAGCACAAAGAATTCAAGAAATAAGGACAGAATACCAGAGCCAGTGAGTAGAAGAGAGGAATTCACAAGATTAAAGATTATTTAAATATGATTCAAGACTGTATTAAACATGATTACTGGCTGTGGCCCATCTTGAGTTTAGCCACAGAAGACAATGGAAGAGGAAATCATGCTAAGCCAGCAGAACCCGGGCTCACCAGGCCACGGCCACAGCAGGAAGCCCCGGCACAGCCTGCCCAGCCCGGGTTCCAATGCTTCTCTGTTGTGCCACTCCTGCTGCTCTCCCAGAACGAGGTTCCTGTTGTACCCACCCTGTACTTCTCTCTGCCACTCTACCTGTCTGGCTGGTTGTACGTGGATAACTTATCTTTAATTATAGATCACCAGACCATGAAGAACCACCACGTCTGATTAGAAACAAGGATCCTAGACTTCCATTAATATACTAGAAGAATGACAAGAGGGGTGACAGAATATTTTTGAAGATGAATGGATGGAAAGAAGGGTGCGACTGGATGATGCCTAACCAGAGAGGTAGATGGAGGTGGACAGTGCTGCCTACCCAGCCGTTCTGCTGCCCTTTTCCTGGCTGGCAGAAACCTGATCTTATTTCCTACTTCCATTTGTAAGGCCATGTGCTGCAGTTAGGAAAATGGGACCCACTTCCATACCCCTGCCGAGAGTGAAGCATGATATAGCTGAGCCGACAGCGATGGCCCCGTTTCCCTCACCAGAGTCTTCTTTACACAGGGATATGTGATAAAAATCTAGCCTGCTCAACATGTTAAGTCTGCTGGGGCTTCCTGAAATAGATTTTAATGCCTGATTAAAAGGGCCATGTGGGAAGAAACAGTCTTTCTTATTCCACTGCCCACTGGTATATCTGCAGGTGTTGGCTGGAACTGTAAGAGGCATCTGGTGACCATGAGGGGAGGAAATCTGAGAAATACTGACATAGTTAGAATGGCGAGGCAGAGATAGACGTTTGGGGATTTAGTAAGTCAAGCAGTCCCACATCAGGACATTTTGTGATGTGTGGTAATAAATCACTTCTGCCTAAATAGTTTGATTTAGGACTAATCAAAAATTGTAGCTGAAACCATCCTAATAATACAAAGATTAACTGTTGATTCATCCTGCCACACTTATGACAGAATATGTAGTTGCTTAGGGAAATATATCTGACAGTAACATCAGGATGAACTCACAGTATAAAAAGAGTAAAAGGTATAAATTTGGCTAATAAGTAGAATAAGCAAGAAATGAAATAATGGAATTCCCTGGTGGTTCAGTAGTTAGGACTCCATGCTTTTACTGCCAAGGGCCCGGGTTCAATCTCTGGTCAGGAACTAAGATTCCATAAGCCGTGTGGTGTAGCCAAAAAAAAAAAAAAAGAAAAGAAAAAAAAAAAAGATAATATTGGGAATTATCTCATTCCCAATGAGAAGGAGGTGGGAATTGAGAAGATGGAGGCCTTAAAATACTTATTTTTGAAGGACCAAGATACTAACAGATTATAGCAAGACTAGTGAAGAGAACTGCATAAAAAGGATATTTAGGCTCACGCCCCAGTGCCAGGAAGAAGATCCAGGAGCATAACAGAACTAACAACCAGGAAGGTGAGAAGTTATCATACAGCTATGGGGCAGCAGAAGAGACATTCCAATTCCAGTTTCTGAAAAATGAGACAAGGGAGTGGCCCATGCAGGGAAGATGCCCAGTGGAACAGTCAAACCCAGTACCAAAGGGCAGATGAAAGAGGGATGGGGCTGTCAGTCACCAATACAGAAAGAAAAAGCGTAAATCTTCAGAGTGGAAGTCTTTGAAAACTTACAATATACGAGGAAAGTGGGGAATATAAGAAAGACCCCTTTGGACTCAGAGGAAAGAGCATGCGAGGTCAGTAAAGCATGAGGAGAATAAGCACTGTGTCGTGCAGTGTGAGAGTGGGTTCCATGGGGTTCACTTGAGTAAGGTGTGGGGAAAAGGCTTCAGGCGGGAGAAATGATATTATCAAATGATGCAGGAATACACTCAGAAAGAACAGTGATGACAAAGCCATTAGGAAGGAGAAGCAGAAAGGGTAGAATCTCCTAACACGTAGGTTTCAAGGAGAAGGAAATTGGAACTGTGTTGAATATGAATGTAAGTAATTTTAGAAAAATAGAAAAAAAGTAGAAGGGGTGTGAAAGTCACATGAAAAGAGGTAAAGAGGAAAAGCTTGCTTAAATGCGTAATGAAATGCATCTATCACCACGGGAAAGTAAGAAGGAAGCTGAGAATGCCACAGAGGAGATTAACTAAGAGACAATGGTTACAAATGACCCAAAAGTACAAACACAAAGGGAACATCACGTCAGAACTCACCAATTCTAAGGAGGAAAAGATCTAAATGTTCTGACGACTCACCCATATGGCCCTCACTTGGAATTTGCATCATCCACAGCTCTTCTTGTTCCAACTGGAAAATGATATTCGGTTTGGTGTGTTGATACCCTGTGAATAGAAAATTACAGACAACCTGGCCCAAAACTGCCTAGGACCATGGGATTCAGCAGAATGGGGAAGACTCGGTTTAGAGGCGGCGTGATCAAGCTGCCCTTTTGCACTTTGGCAAAATGAACATCATTCAACCAGCAGATTTTGATGCCAAAGGGAGAATAAGAAAATCTGGCCTCTAAATATAAGCCGCAAATCACCAAGCATTTTACGAAAGTGCCCCAGCTTTCAGCACCCAAGAAGGGGAAGCCTGGAGATGACACACACTCCTTTCAGGGAAGTGGTACTTACCCAGGGACACCAGGTTGCTATAGTTCTCCAACATCACACTCCTGTACAGGTGTTTCTGAGCTGGGTCCAGCAGCTGCCACTCCTCCCAGGTAAAGTCCACAAACACATCCATGAATGACAATGGTCCCTGAAACAGCATATCTCCATTCAATTGCAAATCATTTTACTGAGTTTGTAGTAAACAAAAGGCTGCTAAGGGTGTCCATTATTTACATTGTACTTTGGGAGAAAAGCAAACGTTTACTGAAAATATCCCATCAATATGCATTAAATCAGTTAACCTGTCTTTCAGCATATAAGAATACCATGTGCCAGGTATTCAACTAGGAGCAGGTAATATAAAATGGATGAAAGACAGAAGTGTTCAGCATTGCAGAGAACAGCAAAGATTAAACCCATAAAAATGTAACAGGCAGTCAAAGATGCTATGAGAAAAGAACATGGGCACAAAGGGGGAAGCAAGCAATGCTGCTTGAATGCACCAGGAGGTACCACTGAGGAGAAGACATTAACATTTGGTGAAATAAAAAAAGGCAACAGCTCTAAGTAGCAGCGACTTTGTGGGTGATGGATATGTCCATGAAGATACACAGGTGGTAAATCAGCATATGTAAAGATGCTCAACATCATATATCATTAGTGAATTGCAAATTAAAATAGTGAGATACCATTACACATCTAGAATGGCTACAATTTTCAAAAATGGACACCAAACTTGAAAATGAAATTTCAAATTTATTTTTTTTTAATTTACTTATTTCTATTTTTTAAATTTGGAGTATAATTGCTTCACAATGTTGTGTTAGTTTCTGCTGTACAACAAAGTGCATCAACCATATGCATACATATACCCCCTCCCTCTTGGAGCTCCCCCCAACTGCCACCCCCTTCCACCCAGCTAGGTCACCACAGAGCACTGAGCTGAGCTCCTGTGCTTTATAGCATGTCCCCACGAGCTATCTGTTTTACACATGGTAGTGTATTTATGTCAAACCTGATCTCCCAATTCATCCTACCCTCCCTTTTCTCCCATGTGCACACATCCATTCTCTATGTTTACATCTCTGTTCTGCCCTGGGACTAGGTTCATGTGTACCATTTTTCTAGATTCCACATATCAATACATGCGTTAATATACGTTATTTGTTTTTCTGTTTCTGACTTACTTCACTCTGTATGACAGACTCTAGGTCCATCCACATCTCTACAAATGACCCAATTTCGTTCTTTTTCATGGCTGAGTAATATTCCATTGTATATATGTGCCACATCTTCCTTATCCATTTATCTGTCATTGGACACTTAGGTTGCTTCCATGTCCTGGCTATTGTAACTAGTGCTGCAATGAACATTGTGGTACGTGTCTCTTTTTGAATTATGGTTTTCTCAGGGTATATGCCCAGTAGTGGGATTGCTGGGTCATATGGTAGTTCTATTTCTAGTTTTTTAAGGGACCTCCATACTGTTCTTCTCCATAGTGGCTGTATCAACTTACATTCCCATCAACAGTTCAAGAGGGTTCTCTTTTCTCCACACTCTCTCCAACATTTATTGTTTGTAGATTTTTTGATGATGGCATTCTGACTGGTGTGAGGTGATACGTTATTGTAGTCCTGATTTGCATTTCTCTAATAATTAGTGACGTTAAGCATCTTTTCATGTGTCTCTTGGCCATGTGTATGTCTTTTTTGGAGAAATGTCTATTTAAGTCTCCTACCCATTTTTTGACTGCGTTGTTTGTTTTTTCGATATTGAGCTCATGAGCTGTTCGTATATTTTAGAGATTAATCCTTTGTACCTTGCTTCATTTGCAAATATTTTCTCTCATTCTGAGGTTTGTCTTTCCGTTTTGTTTATGGTTTCCTTTGGTGTGCAAAAACTTTTAAGTTTAATCAGGTCCCACTTGTTTACTTTTGTTTTTATTTTCATTACTCTAGGAGGTGGGTCAAAAAAGATCTTGCTGTGATTGATGTCAAAGAGTGTTCTTCCTGTTTTACTCTAAGAGTTTTATAGCGTCTGGTCTTACATTTAGGTCTTTAATCTATTTTGAGTTTATTTTTGTGTATGGTGTTAGGTAGTGTTCTAATTACATTCTTTTAGCTGTCCAGTTTTCCCAGCACCACTTATTGAAGAGACTCTCTTTTTCTCCACTGTATGTTCTTGCTTCCTTTGTCATAGAGTAAGGTGACCACAGGTGTGTGGGTTTAGATGTGGGCTTTCTCTCCTGTTCCATCAATCTATATTTCTGTTTTTGTGCGAGTACCATACTGTCTTGTTGGCTGTAGCTTTGTAGTGTAGTCAGAAGTTGGGAAGCCTGATTCTCCCTACTCCGTTTTTCTTTCTCAAGATTGCTTCAAGATATTACCTAGTGTTCTTTTATTTCACCTGCATGACTCCCTTGAACATCTCTTGCCAAGCAAGGTGTAGTGGTAGCAAACTCCCTTTTGTTTTCTGTGAATGTCTTCATTTCTACCTCACTTTTGAAGCACAGTTTTGTCAGATATAGGATTCTTGGCTGGTAGTTTGTTTTTTTTATTTTAGCTCTTTGAATATATGGGTTCATTGCCTTTTGGTCTCCAAAGGTTCTGATGAGAAATCTGCTTATCATCTTACTGAGGAGCCCTTGTATGAAACAAGTCATTTCTTTCTTGATGCTCTCAAGGTTCTCTCTTTGTCTCTGTCTATTGAAAATTTGAGTGTGTGTGTTTCTTTGAGTTCATCGTTTTTGGAGTCTGTTGAGCTTCTTTGATGTTTATATTCATGTCTTTCATCAAATTATCTATGTATAGTATCATGATATCTGTAAAGAGTGACAGTTTTACTTTTTCTTTTCCAATTTGTATTCTTTTTAGTGTATAGGAATGCAAGAGATTTCTGTGCATTTTGTATCCTGCAACTTTACCATTCTTCTCAAGTACACATGAGACATTTCCAGGGCAATCCACAAATTAAGTCTCAATAGATTCAAAAGACAAATATCATTCAAAATATCTTCTCTGACTACACAGGCTGAAGCTAAAAATCACTATAAATGGGGAAAAAATGAAAAATGCACAAATTTGTGGGAATTAAAACAACACAGTCCAAAACAACCAATGGATCAAAGAAAACAAAAGGGAAATTAGTAAATACTTAGACTTGAATGGAAACAAAACACATCATAAAACCGATGGGATGCAGCAAAAGCAGTGTTGAGGGTAAAATTGACAATTATAAACACTTATATTTAAAACAAGAAACATCGGGCTTCCCTGGTGGCGCAGTGGTTGAGAGTCTGCCTGCTGATGCAGGGGACACGGGTTCATGCCCCGGTCCAGGAAGATCCCACATGCTGCGGAGCGGCTGGGCCTGTGAGCCATGACCGCTGAGCCTGCACGTCCAGAGCCTGTGCTCCGCAACAGGAGAGGCCACAATAGTGAGAGGCCTACGTACCGCAAAACAAAACAAAACAAAACAAACACAAGAAACATCAACAATCTAACTTTACAACTTAAGGGAATAGAAAAAGAAGAACAAACTAAACACAAAGATAGCAAAAAGAAGGAAATAAAAAGATTAGAACACAGATAAACAAAATAGAGACTAGTAAAACAATAGAAAAAAAATCAATGAAACCAAAGCTTGGTTCTTTGAAAAGATCAACAAAATGGATAAAGCTTTAGGTAGATGGACTAAGAAAAAAAAGAAGACTTGAATTACCAAACTCAGAAATGAAAGTGGGGAAATTAGTACTGATTCTACAGAGACAAAAATGATTATTGGAAAATACTATGAACAACTGTATGCCAACAAATTGGATGACCTAGTTGAAATGGATACAATTCCATCTTCATTTGTATCAAGATTAAATCACAAAGAAATAGAAAATTTGAAAAGATCTATAACTAATAAGGAGATTGAGTCTGTAATCAAAAGTCTCCCCCCAAAAGAAAAGCCCAGGCTTCACTGGTGAATTTTACCAAATATTTAAAGGAGTTATAACATCAATCTTTCTCAAGTTTTTCCAAAAACCTGAAGAGGAGGGAACACTTCCTAACTCATTCTATAAGGCCAGCATTACTCTGTTACCAAAGCCGTACAAAAACACTATAAGAAAACTACAGACTAGTATCCCTTATAAACAGAGATGCAAAAATCCTCAATAAACTAATAGGAAGTCAAATTCAGCAGCTTATTACAAAGATTATACACCATGACCAATGGGATTTATTCTTGGAATGCAAGGATGGTTCCACATTTGAAAACTGCTCAATGTAGTGCATCACGTTAACAGAATGACATTTAAAAATGATTATCTCGATGCAGAAAAAGCATTTGATAAAATTCAACACCCTTTCATGATAAAAACACTCGACAAAGTAGGAATAGTAGGAAAGTATCTCAACATAAAAGCTGTATCTTAACAACCCACGGTGAACATCATTGTCAATGGTCAAAGACTGAAACTTTTCCTCTAAGATGAGGAACAAGGCAAGGATGTTGGCTTTCACCACTTCTATTCAACATAGCACTGGAAGTTCTAGCCAGAGCAGTAGAAGTAAATTTATCTCTATTCACGGCCAATATGATCCTATATGTAGAAAACCTTAAAGATTCAAAAAACAAAGCAATCCAACAAAAACAGATGAGTTCAGCAAATAGCAGGATACAAAGTCAAAGCATGAAAATCATCTGCCTGCCTTTCTTCCCTCCCTCCCTCCCTCCCTCCCTCCCTTCCTTTCTGGCTGCATTGGGTCTTTGGTGCTGCACGTGGGCTTTCTCTAGTTGCGGCGAGTGGGGGCTACTCTTCATTGTGGTGCACGGGCTTCTCATTGCAGTGGCTTCTCTTGTTGCAGAGCTCGGCCTTTAGGTGTGTGGACTTCAGTAGTTGTGGCACACGGGCTCAGTAGTGGTGGTGCGTGGGCTCTAGAGCGCAGGCTCAGTAGTTGTGGCACACGGGATTAGTTGCTCTGTGGCATGTGGGATCTTCCCAGACCACGGACCGAACCTGTGTCCCCTGCATTGGCAGGTGGATTCTTAACCACTGAGCAACCAGGGAAGTCCCCAGTTGCATTTCTATACAGTAACAATGATCAATCTAAAAAGCAAATTATGAAAAAGATTCCACTTATAATAGCATCAA